CCCAGGGAAGCTGTGGCTGCTCCATCCCTGGAAGTGTCCGAGGAGGGGTTGGACAGGGCTTGGATCAGTGTGGGATAGTGGAAGGTGTCCCTGCCCAGGGAGTGAAACCAGATGACCTTTAAGGTCCTTTCCAACCATTCCAGGATTCTCTGATCCTTTTTAGGAACCTCTTCAGCTGTGTTGAGCTGCTTTCCATCCAGCTCTTTATTCCCTCTTTCTGCTGGAGGCTGCTCCTCCCTGTCAGCTCTGCAGCTCAGCTTGGGTGGGAAGCAGAATTAAACTGCAACAATCACCTTGGGAATGCTCAGGTGGCTCCTGGACAGAAGAGGCTGGCAGAGGTGTCACCCCCAGGAGCAGGGGCTGATGGATATCAGGGACCAGGAATATCAGGCAGCTTCACAAGGGCTTGATCCTGCTTCCTCCTCTGTTCTGTTTGCTTGGCTTTAATTGAGATTTTTAATTGCTCAATTTTCCCAACAGAACTATGGTCTGTAATTCCTTTTGGATGCTGTGCTGCTGTTGCCCTAAGTCTGTGTGAAGCATAGTTTAATTCCAGCTGGGATTGCTTTCCTCCTTGTGCCCAGCTCCAGCTGATTCCCTGTTTTTTTCCCTTCCAGGCAGAGGATTCACAGATAAAGTGGATCGACTAAAACTGGCAGAAATCGTCAAACAAGTGATTGAAGAGCAGACAAATTCCCACGACTCTCAATAGCTGGAGCTTCTTAATCTTATTTTTTTTACCATTTAAGATTTATTCTTTAACTGTAAAAAGTATTTTTATGTAAATTAATAAATCATAATTATTTCATTAAATTTCCATACTGCTTGAAAATGCTGTATAGTTGTAGATACAAAAAAAAAAAAAAATCATTGGTACTGTAATATTTTTTTAAAAACTCAGTTCCTCGAGGTATATATGATCACTTATGTACTGTTAATCATAAGCCCCCCAAATGGGGTGGATTTTATTGTTAAAAACCATTCTTTTTCTTAATAACCAGTTGCAGAAGCTGCCTTTCACCTGCCACATCCAGCCCCTGCAGTGACTGTATGTGAAGGAGAGCCACAATTTCTCCAGCCCCTGCTCAGTGAGTACTTGAAGCAAGTGCTGTGAAATGCAAATTCACCACTCCCCTTGGCACCTAAATTCCAGGTCTTTAGGTAGAGAAAAATCAATTAAATAATCTTCAGTTTGGCTTGGTGCCTTGTCCAGGCATCTGAGGCCATGTGCTTGCTGAAATTTTCAGTTCTGAGCAGTGACTCTCCTTTTTTTGTCATCTTCCCCATCTCCCTCAGACCTTCTTTAAGGCTTAACCTCCTCTGTTTCTTCCTCCTCATCTCCCTCAGACTTTTTTTAATGCTGAATCAACCATTCAGCACAAAACTCTTCTTTTTCTCACCTTGTCCAACATCAGAACAGAAGAATGTTCAAGTTCTTATGCACAAATTACTTTAATTTCCATGGTGGGATCTTCTATGGACCGAGACCAGCCTGGGGTTTTTTTGTTTGAGATTCACCCCTCTATTCCCATTCTTTCCTTCCTAGAAGATCCAAGGCTTGGGTTCTGACTTGTCCTCTTGTTTGGCAGAGCTGCTCCCAGTGCTCTGGGGAACCCCTGGGATTTGTCTCTGGAGCCCAAATTCCCGTCTCTGATGCCTTCGAGCTCCTTCTTGGGGGAGCCACAACTGCAGGGCTGCTCCTTGGCTGCCTCCCCAGGGCAGGTTCTTACTCTAGTCTGGAACATGGGCTCCAAAAGCTGCTTTTTTAAATCCTGATAAAGCAAACCAATGGCAAGAATCTGTACATAGTTCTAGTTTTCTACCTTTTCTGCTTCTCTTTCTTTCGAGATTGGCTGGAGGCTTTTTATAGAGCTATTTTGGTACCAAATCCGTGCAGACACGGGCTGAGTTTGGTCTGCAGACTGAAGTGCCAACCCAGGGCCATCAGTGACCACTCCTGAACATTGTTGTCTTTCACAGCTCATCCATTTTTGGGTTTACATTGACAAACCTGAGCCATGAATTTCCCAATTCTCTCTTACAAAAGTCCAGCCTTGTTCTTTTTTTGTCTCTTTTCTATAACCAAAACTCCTTGCAGCTTTAGCTGGATGGCAAAGCAGTGTCTGACTCTTTCTATACAATTTTCTAAACAGTGACTTGTTTTTTCTACATGAAGGAGATGCTTTGTTTCCTGTTCTCTGTCAGCTTTCCTTAATCCTGTGGACAGTTTTCCAATGCCTGATTTATTGCAGGGTAAGAACAGTCCCTGCTTATCCATCCTCTGATGGGAGCAGGGAGTGTTTGTGTGAGCTGGAATTGTACCTCTGACACTACCTGGAATATTTGTGCACTGACCTGTTGATGAAAACTGAAGAGAATTAGCAAAAACTGAGAGGTTTTGTCATTTTGTGGCTGTACCACCAAGCCCTGTTATGTGCTTTTCTATCCTTGCTCTAATTCTAGGTTATGTCTTGAAATGGTTTCATTTTGAACTTGAAATCCATATTTTTTTCTGGGAAGTTGAAACTTTCAAGTGTGGCAGATAGAGATGGAAACAAGGAAATCACCTTTGTTTGAATGGCAGAGCAAAAAAAACCCTCCAAAAACACTTTGTGACTCTGTCCTCTCAGGAGGAAAATCCTCAGGCAGTTTTTTGGGAGCCAGAATTTGTTGGAAGTGCAGTCAGGGGGGAAGGTGGGATCTGGTGTGTTAGAGGATTCCTCCTTTTCTTCATCCCTTAAGTGCTGCTGATCCTGAGGTGGGAACATTTGTACAAATTTCCAAGGGCTTTTGCCACAAGGAACTGCTTTTGATGGATTTAATCTACATTTTCTTGTCTGTGATAAATAAGAAGGGGCCTGATCTGAAGCAGAGGGAGAAGAGACAATTTAAGAAAATACAATTTCAAGACTTAAGGTCAAATGGTTTTGTTTCTATGAGAAAGTTGATTTTTTTTTACTCTTGGAAAAGTTCTATTTACATTTCAAAGTTCAATAACTTTAATGAATTCATTTACGTGTTTGAACGTAGCATTTGACTTTCTCCTTCCTGTGTTCAGTTGATTTTTCAGTTGAAGCAAATGCAAGACACCTTGTCTTGATTCTCTGAGGTTTGACTTGGTAATAAATCTACTGATCCTTTATAGCAGACTGTGAATATTGTAAATATCTCGAGCTGGAAGTGTGGGATCAAAGAAGAATTTCTTTGTACAAACACTAAAAATTTGTGGGAAAGCTCTGGAGAGTGTTGGGTTTTGGGTTTTTTTTTAGAATTTTATTTAAGTGGATAAAAAAAATCTCTGAAATCATTTGACCTTTTCAAAGTATTCTGTATAACTGGCTTCTCCTGTGACTTGATTATTTGAAACTTTCCTATATGTATTAAAATTAGGAGAACCTGGTTAGTGAAAGAGAGTTTGATTGGAAATAGCAACATGTCAAAGTTTTGCTGTCATTACTTCTGATTTTCTTTTGGAAACCTGACTCTGTCCCCATGTTTAACTCCTGTGTGTTAAAATGTTCTCATTTCTCCCTCTCAGTGTTCCCTGTTAGTTCCTTTTGGATCAGTATTACATTGTAAATATTACCCATCCTGTATATAAATGATTTTACTAAACTCAAAAGTTCCTGGCTGCTTTTGTTTGGTTCCCAAAACCCCTGTAGGAGAGAAGGAAGGAGCAGGAGGGAACAGGAGCAGGATTCTCCTGCCACCCTGCTTTTCCCTGGAGGGGTCCAGAAGGTGTGGATGCAGCACTTGGGGGTGTGGTGAGTGGTGGACATGGTGGTGCTGGGTTCATTTTTGGATTTGATGGTCTTAGAGGGCTTTTCCAGCCTTAGGGATTCCATGATTTCATGATTCTGGCACCCCCATCCCACCTCCCTTTATCCATGGGGAATAAGGACTTGAATGAGGCTTTGAGATGAAAGGATGACTGACAGGAGAGTCTGGATCAATCCCTAGGAAACCCAAAATTGTCTTTTTTAAGCCCAGCTTTCCATCAGGTGGCAGCAGCAGCTGCCCAGTGCTCCCAGTTAAGCCCTGAGGGCTGTGGGGTTGGACTGGGCAGCCAGGGAAGGGATGGATGAGTCCTTCAGGCTTCAGTGACACTGGAAATAAGAACCAGTTCCTCTGGGATAATGATCCTTGCAGGTGGTTGAAGTGGGAGCCCTGCTGGGACTGGGGGATGCTGGGTGGGTGAGAAGAATTCTTGTAAGAGAATTTCCCTCTGCTTGGTGCCTTTGAGGAGCTTCGAGGGCATTGGGTGGAGCATCCAGTTTGGGAAAGGGACTGAGGGAACAATTTCCTGGGAGCACTTCAAGCAGCCACCCCAGCTGGGAGTGCCCATGGAATGGCTCTTTCCAGCAAGAAAACTCCCCTCAAACAAACACTGCTGAGCTGTCTGGGGAGCCCTGGCAATGTGTCAGCACCCACTGACAGCTCTGATGGTCCATTTGCAATCCAGTCATTGTTTCCCGGCTAATCCTCCATCATTTAGGAAGCTTTAATCCCCTTTTAAACAAATTGCACCGGCTCCACAAATGGGGTCAGTCCCAGGAGGGTGCAGGAGGCTCTCAGGGCTGAGACTGGGTGTGTTTCATTCCCTGCCAGTGCCAGGGCACAGATCCCATCCTCCCCATGGAATATTTGCCTTTGAAGTGGGGCTGGAGAAACACTGAGAGTCACCCATGCCCAAACTTTGAGACTAGAGGAGGATTTGAAGGACCAGGTGGAAGAAGATGGTTGAAAACTTTGTTTTTATCCTACAGAACAGCAAAATTGAATTGTTTCACTCAGTCTCACTCTGTAGGAGAAAATAAGTCATTGACCAAACCTCCAGGGCCCTTGTGTGACTTACCCAGAGTTTACACAGTTATGTTGTGTAATTTAATTACACAAAGCTGGAGTATTTCCTCTTCTTGTCTAACCTGCTATGAGAAAAATTTGGGCTGGACCCAAAAAGTGAAGGTGTTGGAAAATAAAAAGAGTGTAAAGGTAAAGGAGTTGTTTTCAACACAGCTTAAGATCTGGTTTATTTCCTATAGAATGATGAGACCTCAGTAAATCATTCATGTGAACATCTGAAAATGCAAAGAGATTCAGACGAAGTCCTGCTCACCTGGTTCATGAGAGATGCTCCACAGGGTCGAAGCAGCTGATTTTTGGGAGTATTTTGGCTGATCAGGAGTTGGCAGGAAGAAAGGAAGGAAAATGTGCAGAAATTCCAGGAAGGTTTTGTCCTGCTTTGCCATTCTTCACTCCCTGCACTTGGTTCTTAGGCTGGTGCAAATTCTCATGGTTAGAGTAAATTAAAAGGCAGAGGTTGAAAAATACTTATTTTGCTTTACTGTTATTTTGTAAAGGCAGCAACTTGGAGAAATAAAACAAAGTGAAACATCCTCTGCCCAACATCCAAGGAGCTGGACCAGGTCTCTGAGCCCTTACATGGAGTTTGCTGCGTTTCTAGGGACATTTCCAGGGGGAGCAAGTCTGGCCTAAAGATTTACCACGTTGAAAGAATCCATCAAATAAATAACTATGTCCACTGAGCTCCTGGCTCTGCCAGCCCCGCTGGAGCTCGGGCTGTGCTGCCCGAGGGTCAGTTCCATCCTAGCTCTGGATAACGAGGAGTTGGAAGGACTCTGCTTCTCTCCTTGCAGGCAGGGCTGCATCAGAGCAGGGTGGAGGAGGAGCCCGCGGTGTCGGACGGGCCGGCAGGGGCCGTGCTGGAGTAGAATTTTTTTTGGGAGCGCAGGAGCGGGGTCTGGGTGTCCACATCCCGGCGGGAGCCGCGTTTCAGGGACAGGAACACGTGCTGGGTCCAGCCGTACACCAGGCAGTTCAGGAGCCCCTGGGAAGCTGCGGTGAGAGCCTGGGAGAGAGCACAGGGGAGTCAGGGATCCCAGCAAAACCTCCCCCTCCCAGCGGGATTTTATCTTCTGTGCTGTTACTTTAATAAATATCTAATTAAATATCTAATTAATATCTAATTAAATGGAAATGCTATACAAATATATTAAATAAAAACTATATAATTTAATAAAATGTCTAACTTCTGCCTCAGGCACAGAAAGAGCTGGACAAGTGTTATTAAGGAATCACATTTGGAGACTTAGGGATATAGGGAAAACTTAGAGACATGGGGGAGAAAAACCCAATTTCTGGGGATCCTTTTGTCCTCTTTGCTACAATTTCCATGACCACAGAATCACTGAGGTTGGAAAAGACCTTTGAGGTCATCAAGTCCAAACATCCACCCAGCACCGTGTTCACCACTAAACTGCTGGGCTTTTGGGTACTGAGACCTTTTCAAGCCTGTGTAAAACACAAACCACCAAACCAAGATCTTTGCCAAGCAGAAGCACAAATCAGACTTGGGCTCACACAGCAGAGATCCTTGCCCAGCTTTATCCTGCAGGGATGCAGGGCAGGAGACTCCAGGTGGGAAGGCAGAGCCCAGGAGGCTGCAGGAGCAGACATTTACCTGCAGGATCAGCAGAGCCATGTAGATTTTGCTGGTTGTTGAAGCAGTCAATTTCAGCATCCCAAGGAGGACAGCTGTGGAAAGGGATGGATGAGAGGGTGAGGTTAACCCCACTTTTCTGGGGTTCCACAGGGGGATGCTGTGGGAGGAACTCTGCTCACCTGGAGCCCAGCAGCAGAAGAAGGCCACGGGGTAGAAAACCACTCGTTGTTCCACCATCTTAATCATGGCCCACTGCTGGTCCCCCAGGAATCCCGTGGAGTTCACAAACCTTTTGTACAGACCTCGGGCCTGGCTCAGGATAACCTGGGAAAGAACAGGCAAAAGTGATTGTCCAGGCTGTGATCTGCTGGGTTCATCCAGGATGGAACCCAATCTATCCAGCTTTGGACACAGCACTGAAATCCTGTATGTGGCCTTTTTTAAACTGAAGACTGTGAATTGATTTTAGAATCATTAAATTGTTTAGGCTGGAAAAGATCTCTAAGATCACAGAGTCCAACCATTAATCACCTCTTGCTGACCCATGCAGGAGGGGATCTCTTCTGCCAAGCTCCAAGCATTTGAAATCCTGCTAAATATTTTTGAGATGGGTTGACAGAACACAGGGCTCCAGATGGATTTATCTGGTGGCACAGTGATATTTTTCCTCCCCTACCACCCCTTCCAAAAGGGAAGTAACACCACACAATTATTCCCCTGTACTATTTACCAAGAGTGAGTGGACAAGGGGGATTGAAAACTGAGAGCAGGCTTAGATGGGATATTGGGAGGAAATCCTTCCTAGAGCAGCTGTGGCTGCCCCATCCCTGGAAGTGCCCAAGGCCAGGTTGGTCAGGGCTTGGAGCACCCTGGGACAGTGGGAGGTGTCCTTGCCCATGGCAGGAAGTGACACTGCATGAACTTAAGATGCTTTCCCACCCAAACAATTCCATGATTGCCTGGCCTCTGGTGCCATCCAAGGGCTCCACAAGGCCTTACCAGGATGGCCACAAAGCTGATGAGGAAGGAGATGAGGAAGACTCCGATGCTGTAGAAATGCATGGCACGGCAAACGGAGCCGCTCAGGCTCAGGGGCTCGTGGGGGGGCTCGGCCATCTCCGTGTGCATCAGGAGACACCTGTGGGACACAGGGAACGGCCTGAGCTCCTGCCCGCCCCCAGCAGCCCTGGGGCTGTGCCACAGCAAGGCAGGAAACTCACCCGTGCTTCTGGCTGAAGTTCTGGTAGCAATTGCTGCTGTTACCCAAGCAAAACACCGGCACCATGAGGAAGAAAGGGATCAGGCTGAGAGGAGAAAGGACAGCACGGTCATGGGTTATTGCACTGCTTCACTTGGGCACTGCTTGGTTTGTCTCCCATTACTACAGAGGAATTTAAAGTTGTTTTTGTTGGCAATGCTCTGGAAAAGTATTTTATCAGCTTTACCAGCACCAGGGCTTTCATTTGTGAGGGCTAATCATTGGTAAAGGGAAATCTTCTGGAAAACCACATCCAGTTAATAAAGTTATCATTAACTTCTTACTCTGCATTCATGAGGTCACACAGCTGCTTATGATGAGCTTTACAGCTTTTTTAGCTTCAAAACAAGGAGGAAGCAGGGATCAGCACACTGTAGTTTACCAAACCCACACCCTCTGCCAGGGAGAATGAAATCTTACCTTGACAAGATCGTTGCTATTCGGCCAATGCAACTTGCATAATCCACAACCTGCAAAATCCAAAAATCTTAATTATTTCTGTAGAGCCCCTGGTTCACAGGAAGCAGCTTCTAGGAAGCATTTCAGCAGCTGAGGGGGATCTGCTCAGCCTCCTGCTCCTGAACTTTCAGATGGAATATCTGGGATACAAAGTTTGCTGTGCACAGCAAATATCTGGAGAAGCTGTGTAGGGCAGTGGGGCTGATGGGTTTGTTGGGAAGAGCAGCATAAGGAATGTGCCATCCTGCAGGAATACCTGGGGTATTCCCCAGCCTGCTCACGGCAGTGCTGGTGCTTCCCTGTTTAGGTGTGAGGGAGGAATTAACTGCAAGGAGAGATTTTGGTCACGGGGTGTGTGAAGTATTTGCTCAGCTTGCAACGCAGGGAGGGTTTTCCTGAGCGTTGTGTCCTTGTTCCTGGGTTCCCAGCCTTTACACCACTCCCACTCACCTGGGGGGGCACCCTGAAGAGGTTCTGGTTGTATTTCACCTTGAGGTCCATGTACAGGTGCCAGGTGTAGTTGACAGTGTAGAGAAAAGAGGCCAAGTAGAATATCTGAGAAATAAAACCAGCATTTCAGTCCTGGAATAACAATTCCTGTAGCATGTTTAGTTCCCCCCAAATCCCATGGGACAGAGGCAGGATGATGAACACCTGTCAAAGGGGAGGGTCTGAGCACAGGGGCTGTGCTCACATCCAGCTGGGAAAAGCCAGCCTGGAGAGAGATTCTCACTTTAAACCACACTAAAGCAGCTTCACTTTGGCCTCAGACAGGAGAACTAATGACAGCAGAACTGTCTTAGAAATAAAAATCTTTGTGACCTGGCTATTGTTTTTGGCTCAAAGCCTGGCTGGCAATGAGGATTTCAGAGGCACTTGGACCCTCTCAATGCTCTGTCCATTAGGAAACACAGCACAGATGTGACATTTAGATTTGCTTCTTGCATAACGAGCTCACTATGCAGAGAATTCACGGAAACAGAAACAATTGGATATTTCAAGAGGAATGTGAGGGCAGATATTCTCTCAGCCTGAGGTAACATCCCAAAAACTCTTTTCTTCCTCCATGGGAAAAAGGAGAGAAGATAGAGCACACTGAGAGTTCCATAGTCTTTGATTCCAGCTTGAGATGAGTCCAATTATCTAAAACTTCCTCTAAACCTCCCAAATCTTGATCAAATTTGTTTCCAAATTCATGCTTGCTCCAGGTTGCCTAATCAGACCGTGTACATGCATGTGCTGTGTTTGTCACAGGAAACACAAACTTCAGTGGCAAAGGCAAAGAGGAAGGGCTGGACAAGGGAATATTTTTTTTTTTCTGTGGCTTTGCTATCCTTTGCCAAAAAGATAAGGAGCACAGGTTTGCTACCCTGGTATCATCCACGTCTGGGAAAATGGTCACTAAACAAACTTGGCCTCCTTCACTGAGGTTGTGAATGCTCTTGGCTGGCTCAAGAGGCTGAGCCCAAGGGCTGCCACAGGAACATTGCAGTGACTTTGCAGCTCATTAAATGAGTTTTAATGAGGGGCTGTTGCCCTTTTCCAGCTACTTGCAGAGAAGGCCAAAACAGTCAACAAGGATCGTTCTCTAGCACTTCAGGACCCCTGGGAGAGGCTCATGAAATGTCAGTGCTGCCTTCTGGAACAGAGACCCAAATGCCACTTGTGAAGGTGCCAGCAGGAAGGGAATTCTGCTCTCCTGAGCCCCAGCTTTGGGGCTGAGGACAGTCCTGCAGCACTGCCCACGAGGAGATAAAGCAGAGACACAAGAATCCCTCATTACCCCACTTGTGTGGCTCTCATTGTGCTGCCCAGCATGAACAGAGCCTGCCAGGACATTATTAGGCCACTGGAACTGAACTGGAAGAACGTGGGGGAGTTGTGCAATTATAACCACAATATCTATTCTGGACTTTATTATTGTAATGCAGGAGGAGGAGAGAATGAGGGACAGCAAAGGGAGCAGTATTTACATTCATATCAATCAAAGCTCTGGGGCTGAAAGAGGGAAAATCCAAGAAACAAAGCAATCTCCTCCTTTATGACACAGTTTGGACACTGGGAAGTTCCATCCACTGCAATATCAACCTGTGGTGACAAATAATGGCAAAAAAACTGAATAAAGCAAAATATTGCTCTGCTCCTAAGGCAGTGCCTTGAGACATCACAAGGACTCTGGTGTGAGCCCCTCCAAGGGCTGCAAACTCCACTGCTGGGCTGTCCCTGCCTGTCCTCACCTCAGCACATCTGACACCTTCTGGGTGTTGGGGTGCAGAGAAGCCCCAGGTGTTTGTGAGACACCCAGAAGCACAATGAGACTTTTCTTTACTCATTCCATTAGCTTCCAGACCCCTCCTGCTCTGCAGAATCTGCTGGTTCAACCTGTTACTGGCTCCTTCTTATGCACAAGGTGTTCCCACCTCTCAAGGGCACTGCAGGGTGTTGGGTGAGGAGGTCCTGCACTGTCACGTGTCCTGGGGGAAAGGTTGCTATGGCAAGGGCTCAGTTTGTTTTAATTTCTCCCTGAGCAAACAGCAGTGACAGCTCTTGCCAGGCACAATCCAGCTCTGCCACCCAGGCAGTCCTTGTAGTGTGGGGACTGCTGGTGGCAAACAACAAAGTTTAATTATGACAAATTACAAGATTAATTCTAGAATGTGGTGCCAAGGTCACTCACCTGTCCCGTGGCCTGCAGGTTGTAGCAGATGAGGTCTTGCTGGGAGGTGGATGAGCTGTAGACCAAGGCCCCAGCCAGCCAGCACATGCCCAGGAACAGATCTGAGAGGCTCAGGTAGAAAAGAGGACGCACCTGGAAAAGGAAAAAGGCTCAGCAGGTGTGAGTGGAGTCACAGCCCTCCCACACTCCCACCCAGCTGCAGGTTTACCCCACCATCAGATATAAAGATATTTAATACAGCCTTCCAAAGGTTTTTCTGCAGGTGAGGAAGGTTTTTCAGTAGAAAAGTGTCCCACTGCAAAGTTATTTTGAAAGCCTTAATTGAGGGGAAGTGGGGGATAAGTGGCACTTTGTGGAGGGATGATTTTACCCTCAGGGAAGCATTGTGGTAACATTTCTGAGACCAGTCAATTCATCTGCAGCAAACCCTGAGAGCTTCAATAAAAAAGTCTCCTCTACTTTCACAGCCAAGCAAGTTGAAAGAAAAGTTACCAGATGAAAACTTCTCAGCCTTTACTCCTAAGTATCATCCTTGTTTTCACTCCTTTAAAATTCCTACACCAATGATAGCAGAAAGATTAATTGTGCTCAGACACAATTATCTGAACACTGTCACCTCCCAGCTCTTCTGATGAGACAACTCTCCTTGCAGGGAAATTCCACATGGATCTGTGCTCTCAGGAGCTGTTCCATTGCAAATTCCCTGCTCCAACCACCACTTCTGCCACAGGATCCAAGAGCAGCATTAAAACTTACAGAAAATATCCCAAATCATGGTACAGCTTTGCAGAATAGGACAGATTGGCAGGGAGAGGAGACAACATGTTTTAAATAAACTCACATGGAAATCAGAACTTTCAGTAAACACAAACCCTTCCTCAGGTCTGGAATGACTTGAAACAAACATTTTTCTATGTGTTCCATGACATTTCAGCTGGTGACTAAGGTTGGGTTTATTTTACATGCTGTATTAATTTCCACTGAGAGCCATTAGTCCCTGCTGCATCTTGCTGGAAAGGAGTCAAGTCTCCTTTAACAACAGTTTCCAGCCCATTTCCAGTTTGCACACACTGGCCAGGACTGTAAACACTGCAGGAAAACATTTGTGCAAAATTCTGGCCAACATTTTCCTTGCTGGTGGGAGAGCAGAGACTCTGGAAAAGCAGCCTAATTACCTACATTCTTAATTGAAGCCTTTGGTACCTCATCTTCAGCATCCAGGAGAGAAAATTGTGGTGTTTTTCTTTCCCTATAGAAAATTATAATGCTAAACATAGCATGGAAATGCTTCAGGAGGCTTTGATTTTGTATTTCTTTTCATGGAGTTGAGTTTTTGGTGAGATTTGCTTCAATATTGTACTGGGAGTAAATGTATGCCACCCATCACGTTGTGTTTTACTTGTTCCCATGTGCCATGAGAGCAAGCTTAGGAAGATTGATAAGAGTTAAGGTAGATCTGATTGAGCCAGATTTGTCCTTAAGGCACGAGGCATAAAGAAAGATTTGGAGTTAATTTTAATTTGATTTCATCTATAAATACCTTTTTTTTTTAACCAGGCTTTTCCTCGCTGGTGCAGAAATGAAGCCCTGGCACAACAGGCTGGGGGCACTGTCCAGTTTGTGATCAAGGCAGGTTAAACCAAACAGCTCTAAAATAAGCAAAGAAGCCACTTTTGCAATCAAACAGGTGACCTCTTTCTCCAGCACAAGTGCCCTTGAAGCAAGGCATTGCTGGTGGATCCAGGAGCTGTTTTGGCAGAGACCTGAATAAAGAAGTAGGTGACATAAGGGCAAGTGTGGCTCTGGCTTGCAAAAGGGGAAAGAAAATAACCACTGGTATTTATAAAATAGAGGAAGGGACTGCAAAGATGTAATGATTTACATCCTGGCAGCTCCAGCAGCAGCACACACGTGGATTTGGCTCTGTGGCCATGGCTCAGGCACAAGCTGAGCTGAAGTTTCTTCTTCAAAACCTGTTGAGCTGAGGGTTCTTCCTTGCTTGCCATCATCCCTTCTGAATGATTTGCCTCAGGCTGAAGGGTTTTATTGACCCCATAGAGACAGAAAACAAGCTTCAAGAATGCAATATTTGATTTCTGAGGTTTGGGACAGGAAGGGAAATGTTTCTAAGATCCTTCCCCTCCCAGCCTCCAGAGCTGCTTATTTTTAAACATTTTGCTGTGGGTCCTCATGACTCAGGGAATAAGCTGTTTGTGGCAAGCTTTGCTATGGATCTCTTCCAGCCCCTTTGTTTACAAACTTCCACTTCAGAGTCGAGACATGAGGACAAGATGATGGGGAAGTTGCTGAAGATTTTGTTGCTTCTGAAACCCAGCACCAGATCTCCCTTGGCAGAAGAAGAGCCTGGAAGGCTGATGCAAACCAGTCCCTCCAGCTGGCATCCAGCCCTCCTATCCGGATTTGCAGAAATAATCTGAGCAGAAACATCTGGACCTGCTGGAGCAGGAAGGGCCCATCAGTGACCTGGAGCCATGTGTGGCTCACGAGCAGCTCCCAAGCCACAGCCCCATCACATGACTGAGAGCAGAAGGGCTCCTGAGAAACCCAGCCGTGGAAACCAACGGGATGAGGCTGCTGAGTCACACCAGGACACTGCCAAAGCCAGCTCCACACATCTGGAGCTTTCCAGGTGCAGATGTGGTAGGAGGAGGATTTGATGTGCACCTTGAGCAGCAGAAGCTCAAGCAGGTTTTCCATCCCAGTGCTAAGGTGAAGTCCCAGCATTTATTCTTCCCTGGGAATGCCTGGAGATCTCCACAGTTTATTCTGGATGTGCTGGGCAGAGCATTTCTAGGAGGTTGGCTGGGAGCAAGGTCCTGCCTGTGGTAAGTAGGACAGATTTGCCCTGCAAACATGGACTCATGTTCTGCTTCCCACCGTGTCATCCAACAGTGTGTCAGTGGCCTGCATTCCTTGCTTCTCCAGGGATAGCTCCATGAATTCCCTTGAAGTCCCATTCTCTGGGCTGCAGATCAAACCCACAATGTGCAAAGAACATGAAGATGAAGGAAGGACAAATACACCTGCTGCCAGCTCCGTTGACTTTCTACGTGGTCCACAGGCCAGGCTGAGCCTGCAAACCCTGGACAGCAAATCCCAACTTCACAGGTATCAGCTCAGCTCACTGCCCCCAGGAAGTCCTGGACACACAGAGGGACTGCGTGTGGCCATCCAAGCCTGGCAGGATGGGATGGAGAGCAGTGGGGTCGGTTTTAGTAGCACACCTGCCCAGAGAAACTCCTCAGAGACAGCCAAAGACCAACACCTGTAAAAGCATTTCTGCAGGGGCAGCTCTAATTTGCACTTCAGCTTTGTGCACAACTCCTCAGTCCCCCAGGAGTTTTGCCCTACTGAGGAGGGCACACAAAGAAATCCCTGCTCCCAGGAAAGACTGGAGGACTTTCCTGGAGCAGCAGAAAGCACGGGACTAAGGAACCTGCTTCTCCCTGCAGAAGCACAAGTTCAAGGTCATCCTTTCACCTCCTACCAAGACAAAGAGTCCAATTCTTAGCAAGCCCTTTGCCTCCCAGCTATTAAACAAGGTTTGACCACATAACCGTGAGACCTGCAGCTGCTCCTAGGAGAGGGTCTGTGCCACAGGGACACAAACCACGGCTTAGGGGGGGAGAAGGAAGCTCAGACCTTACCTCGGGGGACCGCACTGCATTTTGGAAGATGGCGTAAGCAATAATTGAGCTGGACCCTACAACGCTGAGAAAAAAAAAGCACAGGTTGGAACACGAGCGCGTCTGCCTCGCTGGGAGACGCGAGTTCTCTTTTTTTTGCTTTTCTGGGTAAAATAATCTTGGCGACAGTGACTTCATGGGCAGCGTGCCGTACCTGAGCATGGCCATGGTGAACTGGATCCACTGGAGCGCAGAGTAGACCTGGGGAGAAGGACGGGAGGGAGCTCAGGTGACACGGCCCGAGGGCGGCAGGAGCGCCCGGGGACCGCGGAGTCCCGGGAAGGAGCGGGCAGCACGGACCGGGGACCGGGACCAGAGACCGCGGAGTCCCGGGAAGGAGCGGGCAGCACGGACCGGGGACCGGGACCAGAGACCGCGGAGTCCCGGGAAGGAGAGGGCAGCACGGACCGGGACCAGGAAGGAACAACAAGGACCAGAGATCGGGATAGGAGCGGGCAGCGCGGAGCTGGGAAGGTGAACTGGCGGGTCCCGGAGAAGAACGGGCAGCACAGACCGAGGACAGGGAGACGGGGAGGTCCCGGGCAGGGCAGTACGAACCGGGGACTGAGGACAGCGGGGTCCCGAAGAGGAGTAAGCAGCACGGACGGGGGACTGGGACTGGGGGAAGATCGTGCAGCGCTGCCGGTGCCGCCGAGCACGGATCGGGGCGCAGAGCTGGGGGAGGACCGTGAGGGGATGGAGGAGAAGAGACGCGCATAGCGAGGTCCCGGGAAGGGAGCAGCCTCTGTGTCAAGGGGTCCCGGTGCCGGCGGGGCTCGCTCACCTCCTGCCAGACCCCATCCAGCCGTTCCACCTCCGCCGGCAGGGCCATGAGTACCGCCGCCACCGCTGCACCGCCCGGGGCTGCGGGCACCGCCCGCGCTCCGCCCCGGGGCCGCACCGCGCCCGGCCCCCGCCAACGGGGCCGGCTGCGGGGAGCGCCCGGTGGCAGAGAGGGGCTGAGGAGTCAAGAGCCCTGGGCAAACAGCGGGATTGGCGTCCACGGGGAGCGGCGTCCCGTGCATCCCTCCGGGGGCAGAACCGGCCGAGCCCCGGTGGGCGGGCGGGCTCGCTTCGGTCACCGCCGCCCCGGACTCCCCTCACGGAGCCGCCCCGAAGCGACCCTGCGGAGCCTCGGCCCCGCCCCTCCGTGACGTCACCAGCACCGGGGGCGGGAAGGCGCTTCGAGGAGCACGCGGGCGGCGGCGGCTCTGAGGGGG